ATAACTAAACTGCACCAGATTCTGTAATAAAAACCTAATAATAATAAAAATGTAGAACTTGTTTACACTATATAAATCGGAGAAACAATATTTAAAACAAATTTAAAATCTTAAGTAGTAAAATTTCTATAGTATGTAGAGCCACCAGGTTTGGTAAACACATGGAAGAATGTTGTACATGTTGATTCCCGTTTCTTTTCGCCAATTTTTGTAAAATAACTAACCAATAAAATTCAGCTTTTGTTTGGAGATGACGCTAAATGAAAACAAAACCTACTGGATGAATATAATAAATGCAGCGTGGCTCAGAAACAGCGAACAGAGTGTTGGACAATACATGGTGGAACAACTTCCTAGGGTCGATGTGCAGAGCAGAGTTTGTAAAGGTTGTAAACATGGAAATAGTCAGTTATCTTTTGAGGAGGTTGAGGAGGACTGCTGTAAAATAAAATGCCACAGTTTAAAGACTGAGTTTGTGGAACATGCGTATAAATAATGTAATGAACAAACATACATGAAGATTAATTTGTCTTCAGCAGAGTGACGTTCGAGGTCAGACGTCATGTTGCTCTGCTTTCACATTCAAATCAGTGTAAATAACCTTCCTCCTGGGTTTTCTTAATGCCAGCGTGTTTTAAAAGTGAAACCTAACTTCCCTTCTTAAATATGTAAACAGTGTGGGCTCACGGTTGTGGCACTCGTTGAATTTTTAACCTGGGATCCGTTAATGTACTCGGGCTGAATTTGCATGGGATGGGATCTGTGACTGGCCGTTTCATTTTTCATGTTACTTTACATGTAAATTTAATGTGGCGGTAAAAAGCAGCGAGGGATTCTTTACTGTAGAGCTCAGAAGTAAAGTATTTCTACACGCTGCGTCATTTTGCACATTGTCAGGCGAGTGACCTGCACATTCTTGCATAATCGGTGCAGCTGTATCGCTCAAGACTTTTATTATCTTTATTCAACTTGCAGCGCTCACTTTTTAAAGTAACTTGTCTGTGATTTGCTGTCTCGTAAATCACATCAGGTAACATTCGTACTTCGCTGATCCCTGTAGTAATTATTTTCTTTCTTCCCTACAGACCATCTACATGTTCTGCGCTCTGGCTCTGGTCTGCGACGACTACTTCGTTCCCTCGCTGGAGAAGATATGTGAGGTACGATGGGCTTTTTTCAGTTAATATTGTCGCTGATATTCAATTTAATAAATTTAAAGACCAGTTGAAGTAGCTTCCTCTCACAGCTGCTTGTTTATTTCTGTCAATTTCTTTTGGTTGTGTCTTAAAGTTAACTCAGCCAAGGTGGTTGCTCGACCATCTCAGAGTCTCTCAAACTTTCTAGGAATGATCTTTGGCATCTGAAACTGACATCTGCCCATTTTTTTTTAGCTGAAATTCCAACATTTTCATCATTTTTCACCCAATGGAAATGTTCAATAAATCTCTAACAGGTTGGAAATTGAGCGAGATGCCTCTTTCAGACGTCCACATCTCTTGAAGTATCCGTCCTGGAGTCTTCATATGTTCAGGAGATGTTCAGAAGTTTCTAGTAAATGGAGAGGGCAGCAAATTCTGGAAATCAGGACTCAATAGTTTGCTTAAGACGTCCGAAGTTGAGCGAGATGCCTCTTTCAGATGTCCATATCTCTTGAAGTATCCGTCCTGGAGTCTTTAAACTATATAATGCAATTACATAATGCCATCATGCTAAAAATCATTCATTATTAAATTGAAAGTGGTGGCTCGGGTTAGAAACTGATCAGGAGCATGAAGACATTAAAATTATTTTCCGTTTTACAGCATTATGGGAGGATGTTGAACACCAGTAGACTCTGCACCCTAAATAATCACATGTAGTTTGCATCAACCTTTTTGAGTTATGGCAACTTATGACGAAACAAACTGCACTTAGTTAGTGGAAGCATTATAGATGATGGATGGATGGATGGATGGATGGATGGATGGATGGATGGATGGATTTAAGTGGCTCCACTGTTTAGTAGGCAGAAGAGGGGGGACTTGAAATCCTGAACTCAAGGTGAAGAAAGGTTCAGTTATCAAGTCAATTTAACTATCTTACCTCCTGAAATGTTATTTTTCTCTCGTTCTTTCCAGCGTCTGAATCTCAGTGAGGACGTCGCCGGTGCGACCTTCATGGCCGCCGGCAGCTCGGCTCCCGAACTCTTCACGTCCGTCATAGGTACGGTGTTTACTCATAGACTGTACGATGGAGGTAATGGTTTCCTGAACTGCCATTTATCACTTTCTTGGCTCCTTTTAACTCCTGGTTAATCCAGAAATTAGCAAAGACGTGGAGCATGAGTGGCTCTGAAGCTTGTTGTGGAGTTTCTTATGACTTTAACTGGACACGCCCCCTAATTATGCATAATTTTAATACTTCATAAAATTGAAATGGGTGAGTTACATAAACATCCATCTCCTGTACAGTTGTCATAAAGACGGAAATGAACCAAAGAGACCAAAAGAAGTTTGGTTCGAGGTTGTAGACATGTTTATTTCTCCTGTAAAGTTGGACATTTTAACGTAGAGGTCTATGGGGACTGGCTCGGTTTTGGAAACAGCCTCAAGTGGACATTTGAGGAACTGCAGGTTTGTGTTTTTTTTGGTGTTTTAACTCGTGGACTGTATATAAAAGCCTGCATGTCTGGAAAGTGAAGCCTTTAACCTGCATTTCTCCTAATTACCACTAGGGGGCGACTCCTCTGGTTGCAAGTCAGGCTGTAAAAACATGAGAAAATGATTGTACTTCTCACCTGATTTGTAGAGTGAAGTAAACATTTTCCTGTTGAGTTTATGGTCTCAATGGTTAGTTTTCAGTCTCCTTCAATACAGAACGATGTTAATTTAGTAAATAATGACTAAAGATTCCAATCCTGTGGCTCTGAAACATTCATCTTTTCCAGTCCGTTACATTTTTACACATGTATTTCGCTGCATCCATCCCTCCGTTGCTGCACCTCCTCCGCTCTAATCGAAACACATGCTGCATTAAGTCGGCAACAAACGCGGCTTTTGACTGTTGCTGCACAGCAACGCTTTTATCCCGTGACACCTGCAGCGACCGTACGTGGATCTGAATATTCCGAGTTGCATTAAAGCCGTCTTACGTAAGGAGATGTCGAGCGTTGCCGGCGGGTAAAGTGTTTTTCTTTGATCGCATCTGTCTCATTCAACAATAAGAAGAGCATCAAAGGCTGTGGGGTCACGTTACATTCCTGTAGTCTTTAGACGAGAATCTAATTATACGCGGGGGGAGTTTTTTTTTTCCTGGCTCAGGATGGGCCTTTGGGAGGCGACTGCACACAACAGGAGATGTGATGAGTCTGTACAGTAAAAGCAATGAGCGCGTGTTGCTGTGTTTGGCAGAAAGGTGGGCAGCTTCTTGATATTTCATCAACAAAAATACCTGTTATGCTTGGGAAAATAAAAACCCCAATTAGCAAAAAATGGTTACAAGACTAAACTTCTATTTCTGTTCTTAATTCTTATCGTTTTGGTGCTGAAGTTAAAACCTGTTTGGGACGCTCCAAAAGTTGTGTTTGTGCAGGAAAAACGAGAGCAAACATGAAATCTGACGTCAACTGAGTACGATTGAATCGTCAGGATTTTAACCGTCTGCGCTTCAGGAGGCTTTTGTTCCTGTTTTTCTTCACTATGGCCTCATTTTTCACTGCAGCTTGTTGTCCTGCACCTCTGTGAAAACTACCAGCATGACTAGAAGAAGAGAGAAACTCATGATGTGATGCCACAAATCCTAAAAAAGAGAAAACAACAAGTTGATTTTCTTTGATTATTGATTTGGCGCAAATAAAATAAAACCAACAAACTGGAATTAGCATCAGTATTTTTCCCACAAGTGCTGCTAAAAATGGTGAATCTACATTGGATACTTATTTTACTGCTTCATGCTTTTTTGATGTGCTGCTCTGTGTAAACACTGCCTGCAGTTCAGCCAGAAAGTCTCAGGTTTTTATCACGACTTTGCCAAAGAATATTCAGTCTTTTACAAAAGGATTTTTGACCAATTTTGTGTGAAAATGGTTAAACATGGAGAATTTAAAATGACTTAGATCTGATAAAAACTTCAGGATTGTAAGCTGGGATTCGGCTACCAGAACGGTAACGTCACACGTGATTAGTTCTGTTTCTACAGGTTCTGGCTCTTATAAATGGTGTCACTTTGGTGGTTTGTTTCACAGATAGTATAAATATTTCAAACAGCCCGGTAAGTCGTTGTGTTTACAAAGGCAGAGGCTCGTGTATGAACTGTTTCAGTGTTGGATCACGTGTGTCGACTGCTTTGACTTGTGGTTGACTCTTGCTTCCTCACCAGGCGTCTTCATCACTAAAGGTGACGTCGGCGTGGGAACCATCGTGGGCTCGGCCGTCTTCAACATCCTCTGCATCATCGGCGTCTGCGGCTTCTTCGCCGGCCAGGTACGACGCAGCCACGGCCGCCGGCGTTTTCACAACCGTAACGTGACCTTTGAATCCTGAGCAGGCGTCCGTGTGCGTGTTGATGCAGTTTAAACAGAGACGGGCAGGAAAACGAGTTCAGCTAAGACACCACGACGCATCGACCTTTTTAAAAAATGTGTTTAAAAGGTTAATATTTCATGTAAATGGGAAAAATTCAAATCAAAACGTCACCACTTTTTTGCAGCAGCATGAACGCTTCACGGCAAATCATCTGAATAAACTCTGACGTAGTAAATATTTAACTCGTCTGTTTACGCTTCTAGAGTCCGAACAAGATGCAAAATGTTTGGACCAGCTGACGTGAAAGAAAAATTAAACTGACAAAATTTTATGGGTTTTTTTCGGCAGCTGAAGAACAAAATTTTTTAGCTACTCTGTTTATTGAAACTCTGTAGCGCCCCGTTCTGACAACACGACAGAACTGAGTTTATTTGCACGTGGAGACGAGACGAATTCACGCTTTCTTTACCTAGTTTTTGCAAAATTTCTAAAAGTTTGCTTCAAATTCACGTCGTGCAGTCGTATGGAAACCACACGGCGAATCAGACCTGATTACAGGACGTCTTTCTCTCAGCGGTTATTCATTCGCTCTGCATTTATTTATATTCGAGAGTGCGTCGAGGAGGCAAAAGCAAAACCAGACAGATGAACGAAAAAGGGAGAAAACAGGAGTTTAAAATGGTAAAATGTGCTGTTTACAGAAGATTATTTGCTTGATTTATTAGTTAAAATGCATTTTAAAAGCACAGTAATATGAGAAGCCGTAAAACTTCTTTGTTGTTTTTGCATCATACTGCTGAAGGTAGAGATGCAACTCTAGTCAATGAGCATCCTACCCTTAAAAAAAATCAACAGCAGTAATAGAAAACCTGGCAGCAGCGTCACCTGTAACCCTGATTCGTATCTGATTTACGTCTGTGTTTGCTGCGTGTTTTCCTTTTCATGCTCCTCTGTCGCTGTGATTACGATCTATACGCTTGCTGTCTGCTCTCTGCTGTACGTCCTCGGCTCGCTGTGTTTTGCACGCGATGCACAGATAACGCTGCAGCCCGGCTCTGATGCTATCTGACATGCCCGGGACATGGAAATGAGCGGAGTACAAGGATAAGCTCTCTGCTCTGAAAAATATATGCGCCGGACTCCAAACAGTGATGCAATCCCAGATTGCGCCTTATGTAATCACGCTGAGATAATGAGGGAGGAAGACGGGACTCGGGAGGGATGGGCCGCGACAGAACCGTCTCCAGGAGTTTGTTACCTTTCGGGTTTCGGCTCCAAAGCGCCGCAAAGAACAAGCAAACAGTTTTAAGTCGGGCCTCGATTCCACAGCTGGGAGTGGCTGGCTCCAGATGTGACCCCCTGAACCCTCCACCAGTGTTCCCAGTGAGCGCCGTGTGGGAGAGCGTCAGGCGTGACTCACTGCACTGTGGGCACCTGCATTGTATCCGATTACATAAAGCCGACGAACACCTTCGTCTACGTAGGACGGAACCTTGCGATTGGCTTTTTCTTTTTCACCGATTGTGATTCAGGAGGTCAGATTGTGTTTACATCACTATGGTAATGATGTCAGAGGCTCTTCTGTATCTCCAAGGCTACGTGTTACTCCACAAACCGATGCCGCATAACTGCTTCTCTGCTGCTTTTTTTTTTTGTTTTTTTTTTTTTTTTTTTTCTCCCTTTGCAGGCGGTGAAGCTTTCTCACTGGGCTCTGCTCCGAGATTCCATTTTCTACACGTTCTCTATCGTGGCCCTCATCGCGGTAAGATCTTAAATATGCTTCAGTTCACATGATCCAGAAACAGCCGCAGCTTTTTTCCTTCAGTACCAACTTTGCACTTTCAGCAGAGCCTGCAGAGTCGACTATTGTCCCGCAGTCAGTCAAAGTGAACTTGTGCGGCTCAAAGTGCTTCA